TGAGAATCTGACAATAAAGAGATCTCTTTTGTATCTTTTATGTCCTATGGGATGCTCCCTTAGTTTTTTAAGCCAGGTGCATATGTATAAAATACTTTATATTAACATCAATATAATGAATATGAAAATAAATTCAAATAATATGATTATATTTTGTATTACATATATAAAAATAAACTTAAGTTGCACAATTATTGTAGGTATAAAAATGGGCAAGCTGCATTTACATCAAAATTGCTAAATATTATTACAATTTAAAATAACTGTTCTGTAATGAAAAAAGCTTTGTGATGACGAAGCTGAATTTTTAGCAGCCATTACTTCAGTCTTCAGTGTCACAGTGATCCTTCAGAGATCATTCTAATATGCTGATTTGGTGCTCAGATAAATATTTCTTTCTATTATCAACAATGAAAAAATGTGTACTTAACTTGTGGCAACTGTAAAAAAATAAATAAATAAATCAGGATTCTTTGATGAAGAGAGGGTTCAAAATAACTGCATTTATTTGAAATATTTTGTAACATTATAAATATATTTAATGTCACTTTTGATCAATTTAATGCATCCTTGATTAATAAAATTATTAATTTCTTCCTTTAAAAAAAAAATCTTACTATCCCCAAACCTTTGAATGGTAGTGTATGCTGGTATTTGAACCCGGATTCATTTGCTCAATACTTTATCAAGTTATATAAGAGAATAACTACTTAAAAGGTAAAAGTTGGCTTTGCCTTCGTGTCATCATCAAGTGAGTCAGGACTGCCACTGGTGTCCCCTCAAAAAATAAAACAGGTGCATGATGCCCCTGGGTTTACTCCACACAATCTGTCTCCTAGATACATACAACACACAATGCCCTACAGTGCCACAAATAGTGATAATCTCATAATTGATGGCGCTTACATAAGTAATCCATGAGTATTTGGAGTTGATCAGAAATAATCTTGAAGTGTTAGGCAGTGATGCATCTCCTGTGTGACTCATAAATGTCAAGTTCACTTCATCTTCTTTTCTCTTTGGAGTTTATCTCTGCCTGTTAGTGCTCTTCCAGAAATTGCTCTGGGGTGCGTTTCCCAAAAGCAACTATGGTCGCAAGTTCCGTCGTTACCAATAGATTTCAATGGAACTAACTACCATAGTTAGCTAGCTATGCTTTTGGGAAACGCACCTCTGATCGGTGCTTTAACAGTTATACAAGCATAATCTGAACTAAACTGAAAAGGTTTTGAATATATAAGACATTCAGGTTACCTATTTTTCCAGCTTTTTTGGGACTGAGTAGTTATGATCATCCAGAAACATGTAAACCAACTTGCCCTAAAGGGATAGTTCACCCAAAAATGTGTCTTCTGTCACAGAAGATGATATTTTCTTCAAAATATGAACAAAAACATTTGACAAAATATCTTTAATTTCCACAGAAAGAAAGTCACACAGGTTTGGGATGACATGAGGGTAAGTAAATGATTAGAAGTTTAATTTTGGGTGAACTATCCCTTTAAACGGACATTTCATACCAGCAGTAGTATAATAATAATAATAGTCATGAATCAATAAATTTCCATCACTTTAAGACTGTACAATGCTCACAAATTATACCAACAACCACACAATCAAAGCTGCCAACCATACCATTTTAAACCAAGGCTTTCTGTTTCTGATATCATGTTTTATACACTCCTCACTTCTCTTGTACACTAACTTGCTTTCTCAGGATCTCTGTTCCTGTGCTACAGCCCCCCTGGAGTCCCCCATTCCCCCTCCGGGTTCAGTTGCCCCCATTGTTCGTCTGTCTGGAACGGCGCTCCAGGCTGCAAGAGACTTGAATGAGGGACACCCAACCCCCTCTACCCTTCTTCACCCAGGGTCCAACTCCGTCGCCCTGCCTGAAGGGTTTTTTTTTCATTAAAGTAGCACCGTGCTCTTATGATGGGGCCCCGCACCTCCATGATCACACCCCCAACCCTCTCACACACACACGTTGTTAAAGGCAAATTCCATGTCTTTCCCAACCCTTCTGAAATCCATCTGCTGGGAAAGTTCATGGTCAGCTGATTGTGCTCTGCCCCCCTCCATCTCTGAACAGGATTAAACAGGGAGATCGGAGAAGAAGAGGAGAAAGAGGCTGCTGGCAGATCTCCAGAAACAAGGCACATCAAACTAACAAAACTTCTCGATCGTCTCCAGTAAACATGACACTGCAAGTTAGGAGCAGGCCTGTAACCTCAACAGGCAGACAATTTTTAGATTTGGTCCCTATTAAAGGGTTAGTTCACCCAAAAATTTTAATTCTGTCATTAATTACTCACCCTCGTGTTGTTCGAAACCCGTAAGACCTTTGTTCATCTTTGGAACAAAATTTAAGATATTTTTGATGAAATCTGAGGGCTCTCTGACGCTCCGATAGACAGCAAGGTAACTACCATGTTCAAGGTCCAGAAAAGTACCAAGATGATTGACAAAGTAGTCTGTGTGACATCAGTGGTTCAACTGTAAAGTTACGAAGCTACGAGAATACTTTTTTGCGCAAAGAAAACAAAAATAACGACTTTATTCCACATTTTCGTCTCTACTGCGTCACTTGTGGACGCGTGTTCACGACAGTACCATGACGCGAGCATGTGTCAGCGCCGCCACACGCTCGCGTCATGGTACTGTCGTGAACATTACATGAGAATTTTCATTTTTGGGTGAACTAACCCTTTAACTATATGATTCCTTCCTTAGAGCTTGTCTATCATCACTTTGTGTTATAGTTTGTGACGTCATGAATTAATGAAGGCTTAAGATCATCAATTATTTATTAGACACTACTGTTCAAAAGTAAGATTTTGCTCTTTTTTATAAATAAATTAATGCTTTTATTCAACGAGGACACATTAAATTGATCAAAAGTGACAGCACAGACATTTAAGGTGTGCTGTGCAAATAAATGCTATTCGTTTGAACTTCTATCCATCATAGAATCCTGTAAAAATATGTTTGAAGGTTTACAGAAAAATATTAGGCAGCACAACTGTTTTCAGCATTGGTGATAATAAGTAATGCTTCTTCTTAACCAGCAAATCAGCATATTAGAGTAATTTCTGAAGGATCGTGTGACACTGAAGAATGAAGTAATTCTAGCTTTGCCATCACAGGAATAAATTACATTTTAAAATATATTAAAATAGAAAAGTTATTTTAAACTGTAATAATATTTCACAATATTACTGTATTTTCGATCAAATAAATGCAACCTTGGTGACTGTAAGATACTTCATCCACATCTGTCATTGTTAATCATGGGAATTTGTAGGCCAGATGAAAACTGCAGTCAACAGTTAGGCTAAACAACGGTTGGGAATGATACTATTTGCATGTGAGTGAGAGAACAAACAAAGTAAGAGAAAGAGGTACAAAAATATTGTACTGGGAAAGGTCACCTGGTGTGTTTTAATAATACTGACAGGAGAGGCTTGCATTTCTACTGCAGCGTCTAATACACCCCTGCAGAGACCACAAGCACCTTCAGCCTCACCTAGCAAAATATACTACACTCCACAAAGCATCTGACCCATCATTTGCATTTGGTTTCGACCACATGACATCACCCACCTCTTTACACCAAGACATCGATAAACTGTTATCAACAAATATAATTCTTTCTACAAGTGTGCCATCACATCATCTAACTAAAACCTGCTGTTACATACAGTGGGTACGGAAAGTATTCAGACCCCCTTAAATTTTTCACTCTTTGTTATATTGCAGCCATTTGCTAAAATCATTTAAGTTAATTTTTTTTCCTCATTAATGTACACACAGCACCCCATATTGACAGAAAAACACAGAATTGTTGACATTTTTGAGTGAAAAATTTAAGGGGGTGTGAATACTTTCCGTACCCACTGTACTCATTTAGCTTCATAATGCATTACACTTGGATATCCTGGAAGAACTTTTAGAGCTAAAAATAATTTTTAGCTTTGAAGTGCTGTGTTAGCAACAACAAAACCTCTGAATGAAGCAGCACACCAAACTTCTCACATTAGAGGTGTGATTATCACACAGACACTCTCACAGAAAGACAGTATTCCCCAGTCATCTTACTGTATGTACAACAGCTAGGAATATTTAGCACTTCATAAATGGATTTTTTTTACTTTGCACCTAAGATGAATAAGATTCAATTCATGCAATATACCTCAGACAACACTAAACATGAAAATAAACAAGAGATGAGGTTCTAAGCATGTGTTTCCAATCATAATACTTTTTTTTATTTTTCTACAGTTTTTCAACATTTTAGCTTGGTAAGTGCACTTTAAAAACACAAACTGATGTGGCAAAAGAAAATTATATATATATATATATATATATATATATATATATACATACATAGCCAAACAAGCTAAAAACAAAAAGTGCAATGTATGAAAACGTGCCTATAATACAAAGTGCACTTTAAAAACACAAACTGATGTGGCTATAACTCTTATCATTAGCTAAGCTATATATATATATATACATAGCCAAACAAGCTAAAAACAAAAAGTGCAATGTATGAAAACGTGCCTATAATACAACAACTACGTCATAGTTTCCGCATTTTCAACAGCTTTCTCTTATTCAAATTGCTTATCTAATCTTTCCTGCCATTTTCCAGGGAATTAATATATTTAGCTGAGAACGAAGCCAAAGACAAAAACTGCTCACTGTTTTATTTACTAGATTTCACACAGATAAAGTGCTCAGACAGCTCCAGATATATTACAACAGCATCAGACCACAGTCCATCTAAAAGCACAATGGTGGCAAATCAAAACCATTGGGTCAAAGTTCACATTTTCACTGACTGCTTCTTAACAGTGTCTAATCAAATACTATTTGACCAAAACAAGCTCCTCAATATGACCTTATGTCTCGGGCACTGAGTTCAGATAGACATTAGCACACAAAGACATAATTAGGATCACAAGCTTACAAGAGTGAAGTGGTTATGACCTAGTTCCTACCTTCTGTAAGCTTGTAGGGTTGAGTTGGGTTTTGTCAATGATTTTTATTGCAACCTGAAAAGACACAAAGTTAAAAAATCATCAAAATGTAGCTGACACATTGACTTGACATCTAAATTGCATATAAAAGAAGCAATCACCTGGAAAATTATGCTAACTGTGCACACCTCAGTAGGTTGATGACATAATTGCTTTCGGTCAAAGTGTGAAAAAGCTGAATGGCACGAGAGTGCCATAATGTGCAAAGCCATACTGTGACTAAGAACTTGACTGAGAAAGTTGACCTACGTGGCAATTAGAACAGTCTTGTCAATCTTTAATTATTTAATTTTCTAACATAATATAGTCATCTCTTACCTCCCTGCCGGTCAATATATGGCGTGCCAACTTCACTTTGGCAAAATTGCCCTTGCCGATGGTCTTGAGCAGCCGGTAGTTGCCGATGTGAGGCTGTTCGTCCGAGCAGGAGGCGATGGAATTCCGGCAACGGGCTCCGAGTGAGCGACTCGACCATCCCGAGCCCTTCTCTGAACGACTGGCTGAGAGGGAGGCATGCTGCGGGTTAAAGCAAAAATATGCATTGTTAAAACATAATTAAATCAAAACATTACCAAGATTTGTTTTCTTAGATTTTATACATATTTATAATTGACACATTCAGACATAGTGTAGAATATTCAGCACATGAATTCATAATCTTGCAAAATTCAATTCAGGTTCATAATGTGTATCGGAATTATATCGTATTGACCGAAATTAAGAAATATATCGTGATATCAATTTTGGCCATATCGTCCAGCCCTAGTGTATTTAAAAAGTTAGCTCTCCCAAAAAGGAACATTTTGTCAATATTTAGTCACCCTCACCCTCACGTCGTTCCCAACCTGTATGACTCACTTTGTATGGAATATATAAAATATATTTTGAAGGACTGTTTTTGTCCATACAATGAAATTCAATGGGGACTATAACAACATTCATTGTAAGGTTAAAAAATGACTTTCATCGTAAGGACAAACGAAAATAAATTTTTCAAAATATCCTTTGTGTGTGTGTGTGTGTGTTCCACAAAAGAAAATGTCACTCAGGTTTGGAATGACAGGAGGGTGAGTAAATGATTGTGATGCATACAAGTAACATTGCTGTTACAGTTAACTAAATCTACTAATTTTTATTCATTGAAATAAAGCTGAAATAAAATAAAGCATAATATAATATAAGATGAAAACCTTAAACCTTATAAAACTTTGTGATTTCTCCAAGGAAAACTAATCTCTGCTTTGCTATACATTGCTGATATGTTCCATGTCTGGCTGTTCCAAGATCTTAAATCTAATCTATCCAGGAATGCATTGCAACACTAAACGCCACTCACACCTTGGCGCGACATGACGCATGTGGCATTCTTAGTTGGATGCTAACTGTATCATTCCGTGTGAATACTGAACCCCATATAATCGTCAAGCAAATGCAGAATGGGTCTTAATACAACATTTCAACAAAACATAGTGATTCATTGCTTGTACATGCTATATCTATAAGGATATATTATATAGAGTATATCAATGTGAGGATCTTTATTTTCTATATTGACATGATGACTCACAAATTTTAAATGACAGAGGATGGGAGCATATTTCTTCACACCAATAAGCCCATTTTCATTTCTCCACATCCCCACACCCGATATTCCCAACAGTTTTGACCATTTCCTGCTGACATAGACCTCATCGCCTGTCACCCACCCATCTTCCTCCACCACCGCCCACTGCCCCACCCTGTCCAAACCACAAATATTGATTGTTCCACTGCTGCTCTCTGTCTGATTGCCCTTGCAGTTTATATAAGAAAGGTGGGAGCTGGGGTATGGGGGTTTAAGCAATATGCCACTGAAATAGATGGTTTAGATGGTGGAAGAAAGCTCCAGGATATAATGACCACAAAACAATAAAAGATGATGCATTCAGATATTCAGTTTTCTCCCACTTAGTACATGCAGTTTAAAAGTTCAATTTCAGTCTGAATAAAGCAATATATGTTTTTAATGTCATGTAAATAAATTATTACAAGCACAAATCCCAGAATGAGACAACAGACCACCTATCTGGGTGGTGTCCTGCTCAGGGTAGGATAGAAGCACATGTGAAGGGTGTAGAGATGGGTCAGGGTCAGTCCATCCAGTCACACAAATCCTGCTATTGCATCTTATGACTTACTCCCAAATCCATTTACAAATCTATGTCCTGTCCTGTGAAGCTTTGCATTTGGCACTGCTGCTGCACCAGTTTCCTCTGTGCTGATTTCTTTCACAGCATTTCCTTGAAATGAATGCACGACAATGAGCTTGGGTCGTTTACAATATCACCATGCTATACTGTGCTGTTGTGAGATAAAAGTGTGGGAAACAGGTGTACGCCCGGACCAGGTGTGAAGAGCCCTGCCAAAACTCAAACTTGCATGGTTTCCTGTCTTGAATATATGTTATGCCATCTCCTCGTAACGGTTCTCTGGTGTGGCTTCCAGAGTAAATGCTTGCAGCCAAGCTACAGCCTTCTTAAATAGGTTCAATGTAAAAGGATTTATTGGTTTGGTCACTCTTTATAGGCTTATAATCACTCATATGGAAATTAAACAAACAATATATTGACTACTAAAGCTACTTTGTGTAATGTCTATTCCACAATGTACTTCTCAGCCACAATAATAATACACAGCATGCAAAAACAAACATACAAAGTGATCAGTGTAGTCTAATTCACAGCAAATGATTCTTCTGAAGCGGTTCTTTTTAGTGGATCAAAACCATACAATGTGACTAGTGTAGCCCAGTTCCCAAAACTAGTGACTCCGATTAACCAGATCTTTTAACAAATAGTTCAAAAAGACTGTTTGAATCACATTGCACTGCATTACCGACATTATAACTGAATTATATCCAATTGAATCAGAATCAAATCAAGAGCTTATGAATCTGAATCAAAATGAATCCAAAAATCTGTATCAATACCCAGTTGTGGCAAACAAATTTGATTAATTAGCCTAGTTAGAATATCATGCAATTAATTCAATTATATTTTAACTGAATGACAGTCCTACTTTGACAGACTAGTTCTAACATGTATAATTCACAGTGTGAGTTAACTGAATCAAGAGCTTGTGAATTACATTGAATCTGTAAATCTGTATCAATAATAACCTGTACTGGCAATTAACTGTGATTAAAGGTGCAGTAGGAGATCTTGGAAAATGCAGGTCTTGACAAACCTTCAGATTTAGACAATAATACTCAACCATAAATGGACAAATCTCTCTGTAACCAAGAATCATACGTTCTTTTTGTACTGTTGAGAATCGGATTAAATTTAAGAGAAGGACGATAAGATTCACCTTTGCAGAGTTTTACACCAAGATATGCTACTACCTCTTTAACAGGGATTCCATCAACTTCTTTAAAGTTCACACTTTTAAGTGGAAATCTCACATTTGCTAATATTAAGCTTGAGACCAGATACATTAGATAAATTATTTATGGTACTGTGACGAGTGGGGCGGGGCCAAAAGCCGTGGGAGCGGAGCGAGGCCGGTGGAGTTTAATGATACTGAGCGACACCTGCGCCACTCACCGGTCTCCGCTCCTTCATGCTGCCCGACCACCTCAGCACCGCGATCCCCCTCAGCAGTGAGGGGTCTTCTGACAGCGTGTCCCTCCTTCCTCCCGGGTATCGGCACCAATGTAACACAGTTTGTAGAACGGGAAGAAGGAGGCGGGAACTGGCGAACATTTAAACCATTTAATAACAAAATAAACAAACCCAATAGTAAAGCGGCAGCCCCTCACGGACAACCGCCGTGCACAAAACACAAAAAAAGTCCAGGCCTGGTCCTCTCTCGTCTTCCACTGTCGTCGCTCCTCCTTTTATCCTTCCGGAGCTCCTCCGTGGGACACGAGACCAGTGAGTGGCGCAGTTTCATTAGCATTAAACTCCACCAGCCTCGCTCCACTCCCACAGCTCTCGGCCCTGCCACACTCGTCACAGGTACTAATTGCTTTGTTGACCTCTGTAGCATTTTTTTTTAAAATAGTGTTGTGTCAGCAGCCAGCTGACAAATTTTTCATTCATTCCTAAAAATGTTGATACCTTGAAAAAAATTCATATTTACAAAGCAAGAAAGGATCTGTGTGACGAGGTCTGAAATGTCACAATTTCTAAGTGTTAAAATGAACGGCATCCTAGTCTTAAATTGATCATTTGCTTTACTTCATTCAAATGAATATGACTTCTCTAAAAGGAAAATATTTATTATTGATCCGTTTTTACTATTAGGAACATTTTATATTCATCAAACTAAATGGAGTAAATTAAAACCCAATTTTGCTCATTTGCAAACAGCCTTTAAAGCTTAGTTAGAATCTATAAAGTCTTTAAAAAAATCGTAAAGCCCAAAGAACTGTCTCTGCTAAATTTATTTAAAATATGCTTGTGAAGCCCTTTTATTTTATTAATTTTTTCTCAAATTTTATTTAAATGTTTTTTTTTTTAAGTATCATTTTACTGTTTTTAATTTGATTAAAATAGTCTCAATTTGTATTTACAAAATGTATAAATATGAGAAATATGTGAAGACCTTGCTGTAGAATTTTGTAATTTTGAAAATTCAAAAAAACAAACAAAAAAAAGATCTTGGAAAATGAAAACTTTAGCCTGATAGCACTGAAAGCGAACGCCCCACCCTCCCTGCAAATCGCTGTCCAAAGCCACGCCCCCCTGAATGCATACTCACAGATCAGACAATCAGAGACAACATTACTACAATACATCATGTGTAATTTACTGGTGAGAAAACTTTATACAGTTAGTAAAAATACTATAATACCAGGAAGGAAGATCGGGTTGTTGATGTTTGTCTGCCATTCTCGCTCTGTCTGAACAGCGTACGTGATCGCGCTGATGACGTATCCTGTCTGCGCAAACAGGGTGCGTAGAGGTATGCTAATACATAGGTTGACAGGCAGGTAGGAAAGTCAATAAATACGCTTGGAACAAGTGTTTTGATTGGACGATAATTTCTTGGTCCTGTGCCTTCCACAGAATATATAAATACAATTAGACCACTTAACTTAATGATTGCTATGGGGATGTGAAGAGACTTTCAACCAGCATAACAAAAAATGTTTCTGAAGACAATCACCTATTGCACCTTTAATTATTCAGCATATCGGAATATCAGTCAATTAAAATGATTTTACATTTTAAACTGAATTTGACATTCATTTTAACTTTGATAATTCATGTACAGTGGTGTGAAAAAGTGTTGGCCCCCTTCCTGATTTCTTATTTTTTTGCATGTTTGTATATAGTAAAACCGTGGTTTATCACACCTGAGTTCAATTTTCATTCCACATGGAACAGTGGAAAACCTTCCCAGGAGTGGCCGGCTGACCAAAATTACCCCAAGAGCACAGCGACGACTCATCCAAGAGGTCACAAAAGACCCCACAACAACATCCAAAGAAGGCAGGCCTCACTTGCCTCAGTTAAGGTCAGTGTTCATGA